GGCAGCGGCGGTGCCTGGAGCGGGGCTGCCTTCGCCGACGGCGGTGGCAGCTGCTGGCCAGGCGTGGCTGCCGCTGCTGGGGCTGAGGGCGTCGCTGCCTGCGCTGCCATGGCCTGCTCGTGCTGCCGCTGGAGCTTGCCGAAGGTATCCGCCGGGGGCTGTACTTTCTGCTGAAGCCCAAGAGGGGCCGCTCCGCCAGAGGGGATCTTTGCCTGCAGCGCCGCGTACACCAGGTTGGAGATGTCGCTCTGGGCTGTGGCCTCCTGCGCTGCTGCAGGTGCTGCCAGGGCGCGCTGGGCCTCCAGCACCAGTGGCTCCTTCTTGGCGTCTGCAATCTCCTTCGTGCGGTTCTGGTACGAGGCCGCCAAGGTGGCGATCTGAGCTGCGGGGTCCTGGAGGTCGGCTTCAAGGTCCTCGAGCTTCGCGTTGATGGTAGTGATCTGCCCACTGGGCGATTGAGTCTGCTGATCCAGGCTTTTGCTTCGGATAGCATCAAACCTTGCATTTTCGAGAACCTCCCGCGCGTCGTTGTATTCTTTGCCCTGCACTCCAACCCACTTGCGCCAGGTCACCTGGGCCTGCGCCAGAGACGCGGGGTCTGGCGCCATGGGGCTGCTGGCTGGCTCCTGTTCGTCGGTGGCGCTGTCGTCGGGCTCGAAACGAGTACGCTGCTGGTGTCCTTCCCGATGGTAGCGTGGCGGGCGGGAGGAGGGCCTGTTTGATCCTCGATTGCCCGTCGAGGAACGCTGCTGCTTGAGAGACGTGCCACAGCGGGAGCAGGCTTTGGCGTCGGCCCCCTCCCAACCCCCCTTGCAGCCGGCTTTGGGTCACACCAGATAGCGATGATGAGGAGCCATGCCGCAACACTGCTGGAGCGGGCGGGCATGGGGCTGGGGATGGTGCGGGGAATCGTGTCGCTGCCCTGGAGCACTGCGCTCCAGAACCTCTCGAACCTTGGCCATGGATGCAGCCAAAGCTAATCGCTGATTCTCGGGCGTCTATCGCTCATCACAACGTTTAGCCTTGAGCCAAAACGGCTACGGGGAGGGGAGGAGGAGGAGTAGGAGTAGGAGTAGGAGGAGGAGGAGGAGGAGGAGGAGCAGCAGGAGGAGGAGGAGGAGGAGGCGGAGGAGGAGGAGGAGGGGGAGGGGGAGGATACGGATTCGGTGGACGAAGAGGGTGCATCACATGATGTTGATGGTAATGAGGAGAATGATGCTGAAGTGGGCGTGACGACCACGACGACGATGATGCTGATGACGATGACGATGATTATGGTGATGGTGGTGATGATGATGCTGATGCTGATGGCGATGATGTTGAATATGATGGTGATGACGTCGACGAACATGGTGATGCTGCTGATGATGCGGTTGGTGAGGATGCTGATGCTGATGATGACGCGGATGACGGCGACGACGATGGCGACGACGGCGATGAGGATATCGCTATTCATGCTGGTGATTGATGATGGTGATGCCGATGACGATGCTGCTGCTGCTGCTGCTGATGTTAATGAGGATGCTGTCGCTGGTGACGATGACGATGATGTGGGTGGTGGTGATGCTGATGATGCTGACGCTGCTGCGGCTGCTGCTGATGATAATGCTACTGGCGATGATGATGTTGCGGATACTGCTGATGGTGATGTCGATATTGGTGTTGATTATGTTGATGCTGATGCTGATGATGATGCTGATGATGGCGATGGCGATGGTACTGGCGATGGTGATGATGGATGGTGATGCTGATGCTGTTGATGTCTGGGGCTACTGATGATGCGGATGATGCTGCTGCTGCTGATTTTGCAGTTTTTGAGGCGGTTGATGCTGATGCTGATGCTGATGATGATGATGATGATGCTGATGATGATGATGATGCTGATGCTGCTGACGCTGATGATGCTGATACTGCTGATGGCGACGATGCTGATGATGCTGACGATGCTGCTGGTGATGTTGATGCCGATAGTTACTGATGGCGACGATGATGCTGATGCTGATGATGCTGATTATGACGATGCTGGTGATGCTGATGATACTGCTGCTGCTGATGATGATGTTGACGCTGCTGACGATGATGATGACGCTCAATGGCGATTGTGGTGACGGCGGTGGCGGTGATGATGCTGCTGACGATCATGCTGATGATGATGGCGATGCTGCTGAGGATGCGGCTGATTTTGATGATGCTGATGATGCTGACGATGACGATGACGATGCTGATGATGGTGAGGATGCTGATGATGATGATGCTGGTGATGATGATGTTGATGATGATGTAAGCGATGATGGCGGTGATGGTGTTGATGGTGGCGACGTTGACAGCGAGGCCGAGGACGACGACGCCGACGAGGCTGTGAAGGAGGATATCCACGAGCAGGAGTTGGATGATGATGCTGCTGATGATGATGATGATGATGATGATGATGATGATGCTGACGATGATGATGATGATGATGATGATGATGCTGCTACTGATGCGGATGATGCTGATGATGCTGATGATGATGGTGAGGAGGATGAGGAGGCGTTGGGCGGATCAGGAGCCTAAGGAGGAGGAAGATAATGAGGAGGGTGAAACGAGGGAGGAGGAGCAGGCGGAGGAGGAGGATGAGGAGATGTAGGAGGAGGACGATGAGGATGCTGATGCTGCTGATGATGATGATGATGATGATGCTGATGATGCTGAAAATGATGATGCTGCTGATGATGATGATGCTGATGATGGTGATGTTGATGACTTTGATGCTGCTGCTGCTGATGATGATGATGATGCTGACGCTGATGATGATGACGACGAATATGAGGTTTATGATGATGGTGATGCTGCTCATGATGATGCTGATGATGAGGATGCTGATGCTGAGTCTGGTGATTATGATGATGATGCTGCTGATGATGATGCTGTTGGTAATGATGATTAGGATGATTACGATGGTGATGCTGATGCTTGTACTGATGATGCTGATAACGATGATGATTGTGATGGTGATGGTGATGCTGATGATGGACACGATGATGATGCTGATGATGCTGGTGATGATGATTACGATGATTACGATGATTACAATGATGATTATGATGCTGATGATGCTGATCATGATCATGATCATGATGATGCTGATGATGATGATGCCGATGCTGATGCTGATGATGATGCTGCTGATGGTGATGATGCTGATGTTGATGTTGTTGATGATGAAGATGCTGATGCTGATGATGCTGATGATGATGATGAGGCTGATGATGCTGATGATGATGATGCTGATGCTGATGCTGATGCTGATGCTGATGCTGATGCTCATGCTGCTGCTGATGCTGATGATGACGATGCTGATGCTGATGCTGATGCTGATGCTGATGCTGCTGATGATGATGATGATGATTATGATGATGCTGGTGATGATGATGATGATGATGATGATGATGATGATGATGATGATGATGATGATGATGATGATGATGTTGATGTTGATGATGATGATGATGATGATGATGATGGTGGTGATGATGATGCTGATGATGATGATGATGATGCTGATGATGCTGCTCATGATGATGATGATGATGATGATGATGATGATGATGATGATGATGATGATGATGATGATGATGATGATGATGATGATGATGAGGATGAGGATGAGGATGAGGATGAGGATGAGGAGGAGGATGAGGATGAGGATGAGGATGAGGATGAGGATGAGGATGAGGATGAGGATGAGGAGGAGGAGGAGGAGGAGGAGGAGGAGGAGGAGGAGGAGTAGGAGTAGAAGCAGGGGGAGGGGGTGGAGGAGGAGGCGGAGGAGCAGGAGGAGTAAGAGTAGGGGTAGGAATAGGGATAGGAGGAGGGGGAGGAAGAGGAGGAGGATGAGGAGCAGGAGCAAGATCATCGTCGTAACATGTTTAATGTGTTTATTTGTACTTCCCGAGGATTCCTCATGGACCTCATTTGGGCCTCATTGGGGCCGGCCTGGTCTCCTTTCTGGGCAGTCTTGGGGGTCCCTTGGGGCTCTTAGGCCGTTTGTGGCATGGGACTTCGTGGGGCTCTCTTTGGGCCTTCCTGGCCGTCGGGGGGTCTCTTGGGGCCGTCTGGGGGATCTCTTGGGGCCGATGTCGGGCCGTCTTTGGCCGGCCAGGGGCCCTTTTAGGCCGCCTTGGGTCCTTTCGGAGGCCCCTTCGGGCGAGCTTGAAGCTCTTTTGGTCCGTCCTGGGCCTCGTGGGCGAAGCACATCTCCGTACCCACGGTCTCGCGGGTCGGGCCCTGGGGGCCGCGGCCCTGCGCACACGGAGCGTTTCGTTCGCGGGCGCCTCGCGCGGAATGTGTCCGTACGATCGTGTATCCGCGAGACCGCGCCCCAGAATCTAGACCGCGAGGGCGCAGATATGGATACTCCGAGGCGGGAATGTGTACATGACCACCGCCTGGAGGTCCATCTTTTTCGGGGACCTCGCAGGCGGTGGATAGGGACATATTCGGGCCCCTGGGGGCCGAAATATATCCATATCCACCGCCCGCAGGGGCACTAGGACGTCGGTTCCCAGGCGGTGAATATGGATAAAGCCTCGCAGATACGTTCCCCGCTTGTGAGGGCCGTCCGGAGCTTCGCGTAGGCAGGGGGGGGGGGCATGCATGCCCGCACGTGGCGGAGCAGACTGCGCCGTGCCAGCACTCCTGACTACCTCCGCAGGGGAGAGCCAGACTACAAGAGGACAGCTATGCAGACGATGTCGGCAGATTTGGATGGGGGCTCGGAGATGATGCCTCCGCTCAAGCTACTCCCACCCCCCGCTTGCACAATGGTTTTCTCGGCCGACGATACGTGTAGGGCTCAATGACGCAAGTCCAGGCCCAGAACGAGGTGGAGGCCTTGAAGGTGGAGCAGGAGGAGGAGGAGGAGCAGGAGGAGGAGGGGGAGGAGGAGGAGGTGGAAGAGGAGGAGGAGGAGTGGGAAGTCCAGGTCTCATTCTGCCCGCTTGCACCTTCCGCGCTCCCTGTCAAGCCATGGCTCCTCCGTGCCTAACTGGGCCGGAAGCGGGCTGCGGGCGGGGTGCTCGATGGCAGCTGGTGCGCCCGACGACGTCAGCGATTCCACATGCCTTGTGCGACGATCTTCTGCGAGACGGGGAGGAGGAGGAGGAGGAGGAGGAGGAGGAGGAGGAAGAGGAAGAGGAGGAGGAGGAGGAGGAGGAGGAGGAGGAGGAGGAGGAGGAGGAGGAGGAGGAGGATGTGGGGGGATGAAGCAGGACGGGAGGGAGGAGGGAGACGGAGGAGGAGGAGGAGGAGGAGGAGGAGGAGGAGGAGGAGGAGGAGGAGGAGGAGAAGGATGAGGAGGAGGATTTGGAGGAAGAACGGGGAGCACCTGTCTTAGCCCAAGACGCTTTAATGATGATGCAATACGCCCTCCCTCCACGTTCTATCTCCACAGTTCCCTACAAGAATCGATCTTCCTTCGGGAGGTGCCCCATTGAAAGACAAACGTCATAGAATCCTCAATCGTTCCGAAGCACCGTTTCTGGGACTTCAACGCCACGGATCAACCTGACTGTCGCGACCTGACAACCCTAAATCGTGCCAGAACACCATTTCCTGCGACTTCAACACCTCGACTGTTGTGCCCTGACAGTCCTCAACCGAGCAACAACACCATTCCTCAGATTTCAACTTCACGAATCCAGGAACACGTTGCGATGTTTTTGAAAGAATATGCGTGGCGCAAAGGCGAGAACCACATTTCGAAGACGGGCCGCGCTCCATCCTCGAACTGCTGCAAACTTTTATAAGACGAAGGTGTAGGGCCTTAAGGTGAAAGCCACATTTTGAAAACAAGCCGCCCTCCATTCGTGAAACTGTTGTAGACTTCAATCTTCAGGATTATAGATGGTGAGGGGGCATCTCAGGCGAAATTCCTGGCCCGCTCTACCGACACGTCTGGGGGAGCGACAGGGAGAAGTTATTCGTAAGAGAAGGAATGGATGAGCAGGATGAGGAGGAGGACGAATGGAGGACCTTAATGGGTTCTGGAAACTACAGGGCAGTTTGTTGCTGTTTCGTTTTCAGTTTTTGTGTACCGTTTCCGGAGCAGTTCTTCTTTGAGGTTTCAGGCCCTGTTGTTCGTTTTTCGCATCCCAAGCCAACCACCACGCAAGTTACGAAATTGTGGTTGTGATCCTGGCTGAGCGGCTTCTGTTTGCGCAAGCAGACAGCACTAGCCACCATCGCACTGACCACCAAGTCGTTCATGCCAACTCGCGCGGAAGCCCTGGGCGTAGCCCCTTCCAGCTCCCCCTGCTCCGTGCCCGTCGCTCTCGGCGCTTTCTTATTTTGATGGCATCCCCGTCAGGGTTTCGGGGGGTCTCAGTGCCGTCTGGGCCCTTTCCCCTTCCGCCCCTCCTCTCTCCCGCCTGCGCCTTGTGCGGCTGCCCCTCAGGGGATGACGGGGGTAGGAGGAGGAGGAGGAGGAGGAGGAGGAGGAGGAGGAGGAGGAGGAGGAGGAGGAGGAGGAGGAGGAGGAGGAATACCCCCCGCACTCTCTGCCACGCCCCCCGCCCCTCAGGGGACGCCCCCGCTATGCGGGGGACCGTGCCCGACGAGCACTCGCGGGAGGAGCCCCGCTGCGCCCGGGCGCCCGGGCCTCCCGCGCCGCCTGGGCCAGGCGCAGAGGGAAGCGGCGGCTTGGCCGAGATGGGGGCGGTGGCGGAGGAGGCGGAGGAGAAGGAGAAGGAGGCGGAGCAGGAGGAGGAGGGTGAGGACGAGAAAGAGGAGGATGAGCAGGAGGAGAGGGGATGATGATGACGACGATGATGATGACGATGATGATGACGATGACGATGACGATGGTGCTGATGCTGGTGAGGATGGTGATCTGATGAAGATGATGATGATGATGATGATGATGATGCTGATGATAATGCTGATGATGCTGATGAAGATGATGGTGGTGACGGTGGTGATGATGATGATGATGCTGATAACGATTATGATGCTGATGATGTTGATGATGCTGATGATGATAATGTTTATGATGATGCTGCTGATGATGCTGCTGATGATTCTGATGGTGGTGATGGAGGTGATGATGATGCTGATGATGATGATGCTGATGACGATGATGCTGATGATGATGATACTGATGAAGAGGTTGATCAGGAGGAGAAGGAGGTGGAGCAGGAGGATGGTGGACGGATACGAAAAAGAGGAGGAGGAGGAGAAGGAGGGAGAGGAGGGTATGCTGATGATGATGCTGATGACGATGATGATGACGATGATGGTGATGATGATGATGATGATGATGATGATGATGATGATGATGATGATCATGACAATCACAATGACGATGGTGATGCTGATGATGTTGATGATGCTGATGGTGATGATGATAATAATGATGCTGATGATGCTGCTGATGATGATGATGATGGTGGTGATGGTGGTGATGATGATGCTGATGATGATGCTGATGACGATGATGATGCTCATGATGACGCTGATGACGAT